TAGTTTCAACCACTTAATAAAATTTAATCTATCATTGTAATTTAAATAATAATAAATATTTAGAAACAAATATTATCGATAGCTTATTAAAGTTTCCTATGGGTTTGTGTTTTGTTTCAAAGTATTGATTTTGTCAGTGGTGCAAGTATAGAATATTTGTTCTTAAGACTCACAGACATTAAAGAGGAAATCATTGATGCGTGTTTTCCTTCCTTACTTGAATAGCTCATAATTTTACACAGAACTTGTAAAACCTACACGCATAATAAAATTTCATATTTTGTGGGAACTAATGGATATTAAATGACCTATCTGGAGTAGACTAAGAAAATATGTTTCTCCATTGATCCTTGAAAAGAAAATGAACAGTTTTCCCTGAACATTTATTTCCTTGTACATATAGCACTAGTATGTCTGTCTTCAAAGTTAGTTAAAGAAACATTAGTGACCTGATTTTGGTTTTAATGCTGCCCTGTGTTTGTTTTATATATACACCTCTTACATGTCTGCTGTGTGTTGTATTCTAGGCACTAAGCTTTAATGAAAACTGATTCCCAGGAATTCAAATGGAACACTAGGCTTATGTGCTTTGGAGCAGGTATAAAGAACTTTTGCAGTTTGGTTTTGTTCTATTTTCTACCTAGGTCATTGTCACCAGAGTGCCTGGACAATGATTTATTATATTTGTGGCATTTACGGAATGAATGAAAATGCTCTGCTAGCTCACTGCAGCCTTGAACTCCTGGACCTGGCTAATTTTTCTTGTTTTTTGTACAGACAGCATCTCACTGTGTGGCCCAGGCTGGTCTTGAACTCCTGGCCTCAAATGATCCTCCCTCCTGCCTTGACCTCCCAAAGTGCTGGGATTACAGGCAGGAGCCACTGTGCCTGTGTTGCAGCCTAGAATTAGCATTTCTTACCAAAGCATGCCATTAGTTGTCTTGTTTTAGTTTTTTTTTTTTTTTTTTTTTTAATGCTTGCTTCCATTATAATACATGTTACTGTTTCGTGGGGTACTTTTATAGCTTCCCTCTTTATATTTGGGGGGCAATAATAAAACCCATCCATATGCACAAAGGGATGTTTCTTGTGGATAACCATTCTAAAAGGTTTCTGTGTAAAATTATAGAAATTTTAGCACAGTGTAAAGCAGGGGCTCTCTACCTTGGCAACACTGACATTTGGGTCAAATAAATCTTTGTTAGGAGGGCATGTCCTGTGCGTTGTAGGACATTAAGCACATCCCTCTACCGTCTAGATGCCAGTGCCACTCCTCCTCCAGTCCAGACAACCAAAAATGTCTCCAGACTTTGCCCAGTGTCCGGAGCGGGGCAGAGTCACCTGTTTGAGAACCACCAGTTTGAAGGATTTTAAAATCTGTTGTTGAATAAATCTTCTGAATATATAAGAATGCTGTTCGATATTGGGAATAAAGGAAGTAAGAGTTTCATGACACAGAACTTGAACCCCATCGCTAATGGAGTGGTTCAGAATTCTCTGGCACTGCAGCGTCCCCAATACTTGCGCCGGTGCCACGTGAATTAGCACCTGGCCCTTGGCCTGGGTACATTCAGGGCTTGCTAAGAAAAATAAAAAGCAATCAGGAGGAAGCTGCAGATTCTCTTTCATGCTTAGTGGCTTCGAAAACATTTTTTAGATTTTTCACGTTGTTGTTATCATGGCACAACTTGAATTTTCTGGAGTTGAAATGTTAGTCATTATGGCAAAAATATCACACTCCTTGCATGCGTCCCAGTTTGCTGTCTGGGACAGACACACACACGTCCTCCTCCTCCCCCACCCTGTAATTCTTTTGCAAGTTCTTCATAAATGTTTTCTCCTGGAGCTGACAAAGGAAGTCAACGGGAAAATGGCCCCTCACATTTTTTGATGTGGATGAAACCTTATAAATAATTTAAAACTCTCGTTTCACAGCTGAGGAAACTCTGGTCTAGAGAGGGTTTCTTATAATTTATTAGGAGCAGAATGGAGCCTGTGCCTCTAGCCGCCGCCGCCGCCTCCTCCTCTTTCCTCCTTCCTACTCCTCTTCTTCCTTTTCCTTCTTTTTCCTCCTCCTCCTCCTCCTTCCTCCTCTTTCCTCTTCCCTCCTCCTCTCTCTTCCTTTCTCCTCCTTCTTCCTCTTCCTTCCTCTTCTTCCTCCTCCTCTTTCCTTGTCCTCCCTCCTCCTCCTCCTTTCTCTTCCTTCTTCTTCCCTCTTTCTCCTTCTTCTTCCTCCTTCCTTGCTCCTCCTGCCCCTTTCTTTTCCTCTTTTCCTTTCTGATGTAATGTAGACGCCCAGTAACGCTGGAGAAGTCCCTTGGATGGACAGGGGACTGGCTCAGGCGCTTGGGAGTCAGTTAGGATTTTCTCACTGTTAGAAGTTCCAGGTGTCACCTGCCAGGGGTGCGCACCCATGGTGAGCTTAGAGAAAACATACAAGAGGGGAGAGGCAGCAGGTGTAGTTCCTGTGGTCCTTCTATGAGGTGCTGCTTTACCCCAATTCCTGAAGACCCAGACTGGGTGGGGGCTGGGGCGGTGCAGGAGCTCCTCCAAGAAGAAAGGCTCTGGGCTGACTTGTCGCCAGGGTGGCCGTGGAGCCGGCAGGTGTGGCTTGCCACAGCTATTCTTAAACCAGTGGCCAAAAGAATGAAATCGGTCCCTGCTGGTCATGTGAGGAGCTCCCTGTCTGTGGGTCCCTGCATCCTGACTGCCTGTCCCCTCCACCAGGGTTGGCTCCCACCCCCACGGGGTTCAGCAGATGAAAGGTTAATGTGTGACCCAGCCAGGGAGCCCCTGCTTCCCCCCCAAGCGGGTTGTCAGTATTAGGGGTTGTGCCATCTGCGGGCCACCTTGCCCAGGCAGGTGCTTCTTTCCTCAGCTGGACGGGGCACCACTCACCCATCTGGTACGCTGACGTCTGCATCCTCTTCCCCAAGCACTGTGAGAGCGTCGCCCCCCGTTTTCAGAAACCTCCCAGTGCCCCTGGCTTGCCCCCTGCTATTGCCTCTTAACACCGTTCAAATTAAGGCCCCTGTCTCTCTTTCTCACCTGAGTTCTCGGGCCAACTCGATCAAATTATGGCCCCTGTCTCTCTTTCTCACCTGAGTTCTCAGGCCAACTCGAGTGCCACCTCCTCCATGAAGCCCCTGTAGGTTTCCTCCACTCAGACAAGGCCCCACAGAGAGAAAAACATGATTCTGACCCAGTGAAAGCGTGCAGAGCAGACGCACATTTTGCTGCGGTTCCGTACGAGGCACTCAGGTCAGCTAGAGCTGAGCCTGCCCGCAGGGAGCCCTGCCTGGCCCCAGAGCAGCCTCTGCACCTCTAGTCCCTGCTGCGTCGTAAGCTGGGGTCGCTGGGGGGATCACAGTCACTGTTGTCACTGGCATGTCTCTCCAGGCAGTACTTTGTTCTGGTCCAGGACATAAGCTCTCTCCATCTTGGCATGCTCCAGTGGTCAGCACACGGTCCTTTTTGAGTGACACCGCACCGTTGTGGATTTCCTCCTGCCTGGCAGACACGCCTTCTCTCTCCTGGGCCGGCTCCTCTTCCTCTCGGGATTTGGTCCTCAGTTTACAGCTTTGGCCTGGTGGTTCCCAACAGGGGCTGTGCCCTCCTGGAGATGTTTTTGGTTGTCACAGCTGGAGAGGCAAGGGCTACTGGCATTGAGTGGGCAGAGCCTAGGGGTGCTGCATGGCATCATAGGGTGCATGGGACAGGCCCCTGTCCCTGAGAATGGTGCAGTCAACAGCGTCAGGGGTGGGGAGGTGGAGAGACCTGCTGTAGGTGCTCCCACGCGGGCACCTACATCTTCAAAGCTATGGGTACCCGTGACCCACGCCTGTCTGTTTATCCAGTTGACACTCCCATGTGAGGTCCAGTAGGCATTTCAGAGTTGACACACACACAAGCCATCTCCGCAGCCTTGCCGCATCCCAAAGCATGGTGCCACTTCCCGAGTTGCTGCCCTCTCCCCACACTTGGGAGCCCTCCTTGATGTGCCCCACCCCGTCATCCTCAGCTCCCCTTGCCCTCACCAAGTGCCACAGGCCCTGTGCGCTTCTGTGCGCTTCCTCTCTGCTATGTGCCATTGTGTCTCCGCTGAGCACAAGCCTTGCTGGTCTGCTAAGATGCAGTGGGAAGCCCCTGTAGGCTTTGTAAGTGGAAGGATGATCAGATTTTCTTTTTTAGTGAAGTGAGCCAATAGGGGTATGGTTTGGCGTGCGGAGGTTCCGCCTCCTTTCCATGGCTGCAGACTCCTCTGGGACCTGGGACCTGCTGCCCCTTTCTTCTGCTGCCCTGCCTGGGCCTCCCTCCCCAGACCCGGTTCATTCCTGCCACAGGACGTTTGCACCTGTAGTGTCCACAGCCCGGCCTCTCTTGCCCCATTCAAGAGCCCCTTCCTTAGACAGCTCCACCCGGGCCCCCACGTAGAGTAACCTCCCCATCTCTGGGTCAACCATCTGTTTCGCTGCCCGGTGTGACTCGCGAGATTTCTGTCATCCCATGTTCTCTCGTGCATTTGAGTGCTAGCTGATCTCCCCTGCCCTCCCCTTGCCGATTCCACCGCACTTCCGTCTTCCACAAGGCCCAGCACGTGTTTGCGTCGGTGAAAATTTGCTGAGTTGCGTTGACGCTAGCAATACGTGTATTTTCATTTCGTGTGCTTTAGGATGGTAGAGAACACTGTGCCTGTCGTTAGAGTTGAATAGATTTTTCAGCTGCTGAAATTGCCTGGCAGTGTTGTGATCACGATCGGTCCTGAGATGATGGTGAGTGGTGAGCAGGCTGGTACGAAGCGTGTCACCGTGTGCTGGGAGCAGAGGCTTATGCCTTGAATTCTCCGGGGGTGGTTGTGTGTCATTTAATGCATTGCTAATACGGCTCCGTAGTGCTGCTCGCTAATTCAACATCTGCCCTGCTGGGGAGCGGTGGAGAACGTGCCTCAGGATGTGTTCTTTGACGTTTTTGCCTTAACGTGCGGTGTTTTTCATTAACAGGTAATTGAAGGCAGAAGAGAGGCCGGAAAATAAACGCTCAAAAGAAGAAGGGATCTGCCTGCGTTTGGCTCTGAGTAAGTGAGATTGTGAATTGGATTTCTTATTGCATGATGAATAAACTGTCAACTGCTTCATACTTTCTGTGCTTAAAAAATAAATAAGACTATATTGGCTTTGTGTACCGGAAACGGCGATTTCTCAAGATTTCTGGTAATAGGTGATTGTGCTACCGGAGGAAAATGCTGAGTATCGTTATTAGCACTTCATAGCAAACTTTCTTATGTAGCTTCTGAGAGTCAGATAAGAATCTCGAGAAAGAAAAATGGAGACTGTTAAGAAGATGTGTGTGCTTTTGAGTTGAAACTTAGTTTCTAATCTTTCTTCCGATACACATTTGAGGTGCTAATTTTATTTCACCCACGTTACAGTGTTCCCTGTGCTCACTGAGTCAAGAGCATCCGTTTCAGACCATTTCGTATGAAAGATTCGTTACTTCTGGAGCATTGTGGAGTCTACAGAGATAGGTTTGGGTTTGCCCTTTTTGTGGGTGTTTGGATAACACCTTATAGGGCATGCGTAGGTGCTGTACGGGCCGTGGCGTGGGTGTCCCCAACGGGGCTGCATGGGCGTGAGTTCTGTCTGACTTGCGTGTATTGATAGCTGTTCCTTTTGATCACTGCGTAGTATTCCGTGGCACAGATGTACCAGGGTTTCATCCTTTCACTTGTTGAAGGGTGTCAGGGTGGTTTCCCGTGTGGGCTGTTACAGGTAGAGCTGACGTAAACGTTGGGCGCGGGTTTGGGTGCGAGCCTGCCGCTGCCCTGGTCCCGTTTCCTTCCCCTGAGGACCTGAAGCTGCCCAGCTGTTCTTATCCCGCCTGCACCTGGAGGAGGGTTCAGCCCAGCAGACTGCAGCCTGAGGTCCCAGTGGCTCGTCGGATGGGTTCCATTCCTTTCTCAGACCTCACTGATGGGGGAGCAAAAAAAAGACACTCTGCAGAAGGAACAGAGCCACTGTCCTTTTGAGAGCCGCTGTGCTTGCTGGGAAGAAGATGAGTCGAATTAAGGGGTGCCCCTGCCCCAGCTAGGACATCAGGAGCCCTGGCGATTTCAGAATGGTACAAGCCAAACCCCAGAAGCCTTCAGGCAGGTAGCTCTGCCTGGTGGCCCTCCCTAGAGGCGGGCTGTCCCCAGGAGCTGCCTTGGGGAGCCCCCATGGGGTGGGGTCAGCTGCTCGGGAAGCGGTACAGGTTGGAGCTCCCTTTGTCCCAGCACCCCCATCACATGCATTCGACTTGCTGTGCCTTGGAAGCACCAGGGCCGGCGACAAGTCGGACAGGTCTCCCTTCATGTCCGTTCTGGTCAGCCACGCCCTCTGGGACTTCTGGGAAGTGCCTCTGTCTCCTGTTCGATGGGGCCGTGGAGCCCCACCTCCCACGAGCACATTGCAGCTGCCGGGTCAGTGCATGTTGCTTGTCGCCCTCCTGGTCCTCTTTCCCCTGTGCCCCCTCCCTGCTGACAGCCTGGAAGAGGGTGGAAGCTTTCGGGGGCAGGGGAGTGCCTTGAACCCCAAGGGCACCCCACTCATTGCCTCTGGGCTGCGTCCTGCTTGTGGGACGTGTTGTGTGCGTGTTGTGTGTGCGTGTTGTGTGTACGTGTTGTGTCTCCCAGGCGCCTTCCTTCTACCGTCATGTGTGATGCTGATGACTGTCCTTTCTGAGGTTGAAGTGACAGGGATGGTTGGCCAATTCTCACCATTCCCTTTTATCCATAAAACCTAAGAGTGGCACAGATAATCCAGGTAGTTGTAATCGAAGCGAGCCACGATCCAAAGAGAAGCGGCGCCCCACTGCCTCGGGCTTTCCCAGTGTTGTGGCTTAGAGCGGAAACCCTGTGAGGACACGGCAGGGTCTCTGGTGGAGTTTTCTCTACTCAGTTGGTACACGAGGTGCCCCTGCGAGGTTACCGGGCAGGCCCCTCATGGGGTGGGGTGCACTGCTGACCTATCTTGCCATTTTGTTTTCTTTATAAACAAGGACAGTGCCCAAATATCTCTGTCTCAGTTGAGGACAGTGGTTCTCTTCTGGGGGCAGTTTTCCCCCCAGGGGACCTGTGGACGTGTCTGGAGACAGTTTTGCTTGTCGTGGCCTGGGGGTGTGCGTGCGAGATGCTGGCATCGCGTGGGTGGAGGCCAGGGACACTGCTCAGCACCCTCCACCCCCACCACAGGGTGCGCTGGGCGCAGACGTCACTGGTGACAGGGCTGGCCGGTGTGGGACACGGCGAAGAGCTTTGAGTTTACAGAACACTGCCCTCCGTCTCCTTTCGGAGCTGTTCAGTTACCTTTGTAATGAAGCCCCTCGGCAAGGAGCTGTACACCTTTGGATCTCCTAAAAGTGACTCTTGAACTGGATATGACTGGACATTTGGAAAACAATAAGGATGCTGTTTAGTCTGTCTCGGCTGCCGTAAGAAAACAGCATAGGTGGGTGGCTTAAACAATACAAATTTGGGCCGGGCGCGGTGGCTCACGCCTGTAATCCTAGCTCTCTGGGAGGCCGAGGCGGGTGGATTGCTCGAGGTCAGGAGTTCGAAACCAGCCTGAGCAAGAGCGAGACCCCGTCTCTACTATAAATAGAAAGAAATTAATTGGCCAACTAATATATATACAAAAAATTAGCCGGGCATGGTGGCGCATGCCTGTAGTCCCAGCTACTCGGGAGGCTGAGGCAGGAGGATTGCTTGAGCCAGGAGTTTGAGGTTGCTGTGAGCTAGGCTGACGCCATGGCACTCACTCTAGCCTGGGCAACAAAGTGAGACTCTGTCTCAAAAAAAAAAAAAAAATACAAACTTGTTTTCTCACAATTCTGGAGGCTGGAAGTCTAACATCAGGGTGCCAGGAAATTCAGTTTCTGGTGAGGCCTGTCTTCTTGGCGTGCAGACGCTGCCTGTCACTGTCCTCACATGGCCTTTCTTCTGTGCCCGGCGGGGAGGGAGGGAAATCACATAGGGCGCTCATGCTCTCTGTCCCTTCCTCTTCCAAGGCCACCAGTCTTATCAGATTAGGGCCCCACCTATGAGCTCATTTAACTGTAATTACTTTCCTAAAGGCCGTCTATTCAAATAAAGTCACCTTGGGACTTAGGGCTTCAAATCTTGGGGGGGTACACATTCCACTCCACAACAGATATAAACCTGACCGTATCCATCTAAGTTGTATTTTTCTTTATATTAAGAAATATATTTTTAGCAAGGGATCATATATCACAGGAATCAATTTAATTTAACTTCATTTATAGTCTATTAAAAAGAAAAACAATCTGCACAATTTGATCTTTTTCCTAGCTGGTCCTGCTGAATCTAATTATTTAGAATAATTATAGAATTCTCCAAATTTCCCATCTTAACCCTTTGCACTCAGATGTCGAGTGTGACTCGACACGGTTAGCAAAAATTATAGAGATTAAAATTACTCTTTGAATGTATCAATAATTTGAAATATAAAAAAATCCATATAAATAAGTTTGTATGAAAAGAAACTCCAGTTTTTTATTCTACTGCCGCGCTTTGTAAAATCTAGGGTATTTAAAAAATTAAATCCCAAGTAGAATAAAGGAATTGAGAAAAAAGCAAACAAGTGCAAAGGGTTAAGACATCCATATGCACAATTAGTAATTTTTTAATGGAACCTTCCATGTGAAAATAGTTTCCCAAGAAAAGACTATAACTGAAAGATCTTGGCCTTTCCTTAAGTCAGGTAGAAAAAGAATTATTATTTTTTTGTTGTGATAAAACATGCATAAAATTCACCATCTTGCACAGTTCAGTCGTACAGCCCGGTGGCATTAGGTACATTCATGCTGTTGTGCAGCCATCTCCACCACCCGTCTCCAGAACCGTTGTCATCTTCCCCAGCTGAAATTCTGTCCCCAGTAAACTGGAATTCCCCCCTCCCCTTCTCTCTTCAACCCCTGGCACCCACTGTTCTGCTTTCCATCTCTGCGAATCTGAGAACTCTGGACACGTCATGGAAGTGGAATGCTACAGACTTGTCCTTTTGTGACTGGCTTCTTTCACTTGGCGTAATGACCTCAAGGTTTATCCGTGTTGTAGCACAGGACAGAATTTTCTTCCTTTTTAAGGCCGAATAATAATCCCTTGTTTGTATAGGCCATAGTTTGTTTATCCAGCCGTCTATTGATGGGCAGTTGGGTTGCTTACAAAAAATTACTTTGAAGTAGGGTTCATTATGTCTGGCTCATGGCTGCTCTTTAGACATAGAAAGTGATTCCAGGTGGTGCGTGGTGAAATCACATTGTATCCATACAGAAAACCCCAGAGGTTTCCTTGTAAATGTCCTTCTGTGCCCTGTCCACAGCTCTCTGCTGTGTCAGGAGCTGCTCTGCTTCTGAGATTAGCGCACGCACACACTCATCCCACCTGCCTTTCCGATGCCTGCAACTTTCAAAGGAAAGAGTAGAAGAGTTACAACAGCAGCCACGGAAGTATCCCAGCGGCATGCCAGCCCACTTCCCTCTGTGATCTCTCACAGGAGCTCGCCTTTCAGCCACGACCCTCTGTAACACAGACGTGTGACAGTTCCCCACCAGCCTTCACTCTGTCCCAGAATTGGCTTTCCTCTTTTCCACTCTCTGTAACTTTACTTTCCTGCAAAAGCATAAACTTTCGCTCCATGTATATAAACTTTGGAGACGCTTTGCAATCAGCATGATGAAGTTGGAGCTTTATGTGAAAGGATTCTTGATGATGATTCTGAAATGTGGTGTCTGTGACTTAAACATCGTCTACAAAAATCACTGCTCTATATTTGGATCTGAGTCTGTTCCAGCATGTTGTCACAGTACTTCAACCCAAAGCAACTGCTGTTTGCTTACCAAGGGGATCTTTCAACTCGGATGAGTTTATAACTCTATTTACATGGAATGATCAAGATGGAGTTCGCTGACATTTGGTGCAAAGTAGGACAACAGAAGTGATATTGAATTATCTGTTCGTTTGTTCAGCAGATAATAAATGCCTTCTGGATGCAGGTGCGGTTAGAGCAGGATATTAGT